ACATGTCCATATCCACCGCCCGCCGAGGCTCCGAAAACTGACCCTCCAGGCGGTGGATATGGATACATTCCCGCCTCGGAAGACTGAAACGAGGAGGCTCGACCTCCCACTCTTATTTTGCATCCTCGGGGGACCTTGTCTGTCCCGTCGCGGCCCTGTCCGTGTCGAATCCGTGTCGAATCCGTGTCGAATCCATGTCGGACGCGTCGGATCCGTGTCGAATCCGCGTCGAATCCACGCCAAATCCGCGTCGAGTCCGCATCGAGCACGCGTCGGGCCCCCAAAAAGAAGACACCAATTTTTGGGACAGGCGAGGCCCCCCGAAGATGCAACAGAACCACTCCTGTCTCCTCCTCGTCCTCGCTCGGCCAGGGAGGTCGCGCCCCGTCGCCGCCGCGTCCCCGTCCGCAGAAAGCCCTGCGCGGCGTCTCGGGGGCCGCGTGCGGCAGACCCCCGCCCGTGGCCCCGCGGGTGCTCTCCTTGCCCGCCCCTCCCTCCCCCTCCCTTCATATCCGCCCGCTCGCGCCGCGTGCGGCGTGCTCCCTCTCGCCCCCTCCCCTCCCCGGTGTCTGCCCTGCCCTCCCTCGTGATGCCTCCCAGGCTCCTCTTCGCCTCCCCCCCTCTTCTCCTTTTCAACAACATCAGCCTCTTCCCTCCCTCCCTCCCTCCCTCCCTCGCTCCTCCCACCCGCCCTAGCTCCCCCGCTTCCTCTTCCTTGCCCATCCCGTCTACTCCCCCTACTGATCATCGCGTCCTTCCTCCTACTCCTCCTCCTCCTCCTCCTGCTGCTCCCTTTCGTCACTCCCCTCGCCCCCTCCACCTGCTCCTCCGTCTTCCCTCGTTCCTCCTGTTCCTCCCCCTTGGCATATCTCTCGTCCTCCTCCTCCGCCTCCTCCTCCTCCATACGTACCCCCTGCATGTACCATCCCTCCCTCTCTCCTCATCCTGCAAACCATCTTTCTCCTCCCCCTCAAAATGAATGGATCGACTCCTGAACATTGGCACCAGTCACCGGCCGTGCATGAACGCATTGGCATCACGACGGAATGTTCGGCGGGTGCCAGGCATTGGAGCCCGACGCGGCCGAGATGAGGGTAGGAAACGCCAAGGCCAACAACACGTCAGGGTGATATTGAGGCTGCGCACGTCAAGGATGACGAACAGGAGTACGGCACAGCGGCACAAGGCAGCGGGGGATGTGTGCATCGCTTTCTCCTGCTCCTCGCCTACTCCTTTGCGGTGGTCTCGTCACCCAGCCCCGTATCCGAAACTGGAAGTCCAAACTGTGGACAGCTGCTACCCGCAACATCTGGCAATGGAATGCGGAGGAGGAGCGGGCGGGGAGACATGGGAGGGGGGTTGGAGACGAGTCAGGGGGGGAGGGGAGCGGAGGGGGGACGGGGAAGGGGGACACGTGGAAGGCGGAGGCTTGTCACAGGGACGGGGGGGGAGAGTAGGGGGCTGCGACAGGAGAAGAGAGGGGGAAGCGGGCGGCCGCCGCAGCGGGATGGGCGGGGGCCTCGCTGTCGGCCCCGTCCCGGGGCATGGGCGGAGTCTGCGGGTTCCGCAGGAAGTTGAGGATGGCCCTCGCGAAAGCCGAGAGCCGTCGCCACGCGCTTGGAGGGAGAAGCGGAGGGAGCGGGAAGCGGTGCAGGGAGTGGGACCACGAGGACGGAGGAGCGCGCATCCCCAGCGGGCCCAATCTCTCCATCGGACGAGGGTCTGACGCAACCACACGTTTCGTTTCGCGAGACATCGGGCTCGGCCTTTCCGTCTCAAGACTATGTCGGCCACCACTGCAAAAAAGGTACCACTCCAGGGGCACCACTGTTTCATCTCTCATCGCTATCCGAGTAGCCAGGAAATTGTGTTGCCAAGCCGAATGCAGCCGCATATATAATTCTACATCTGCTTGAGGACGTGCTGAACGTTGAGTGGACGGTAATGGCCAAACGAATCTACGAAACCAGGCACGACGGAAAGGCAGCGTGAACACTACAGAACGCTGCTCATGAATTCTCATTGTTTAAGAAGAGACTTCAATATCTGATGACTGTCACTCTCGATCATAGTATCGCTCATATCTCGTCCATGCACGCAGCCACGTTGCACATACAGCCGACAAGGATAGAGGAGGAGGAGGAGGATGAGGAGGACGACGACGACAACGATGACGAGGCGACCACCTCACGAATAATAAGATCGGAATACTTACGAAGGCACACTGAGCAGCATGATACACATCCAGAAGCAAACATCGCCCATGAATCATCATCCTCGTCCTTCAGACCTCTCGTAGGGTGTCTTTGAGCAAGAAAGAATTTCGGGGGAAGTACATCCTTGGCGAAAAAAATACCCTGGCGACGTACCCAACCCTTGCGCAAAAGTGGGCATGAGCACATCAGGAATGCTACACCGAGGGCGACGACGAAACATGCCTCACGAAGGCCAACTCGGTGACGAGTGGACTCACCGAAGGCCAACTCGACCAGTGTCTTAGACGCACTTGTGCCTCAGCAGGCCTGCTCCTTGGCAGCGGTCGTCAGCTGCTCCCTCTCCCCTGCCGCCTCCTCCACGTCGTCCCCATCATCCTGCTGATCCTCTCTCTCCCTTTACCCCTCCCTTCCCGCTCTCTTCTTTCTTCCTGTCCCCATGCTGCTCCACTTCCTCGTCCTCCTCCTCGTCCTCCTCCCGCGTCCCTTCTCCTGCTCCTCCTCCTCGTCCTCACTACTCCCTCCTCCTCGTCCTCCACCTCCTCACTACTCACTCACAAATCGCAGCCCCCCAGGGATGGCGAGGTCCTGTTTGGGTCCGCGGTGAGTGCCCTCTCTCTGACCTCCCCAGCAGCCCTCGAAAGTGGCGACAGTTTCACAGATCGCAGCCCCCCCAGGGATGGCGAGGTCCTGTTTGGATCCGCGGTGAGTGCCCTCTCTGCTGGCCTCCCCAGCAGCCCTCGAAAGTGGCGACAGTTTCACAGATCGCAGCCCCCCAGGGATTGCGAGGTCCTGTTTGGATCTGCTGGCCTCGCCAGCAGCCCTCGAAACTGGCGGCAGCTTCACAAATCGCAGCCACCCAGGGAGGGAGAGGTCTCGCTCAAATCTGCGCGGTGCCTCAACCGACACGGCGAGAGGAGACCAGAGGGAGGCGGGAGACGGGAGGCGGGAGGAGCAAGACGCGACCACGGTGCTCTATTCAAAACGAATACCCAACCTAGGAGGGTTGGGAAAAAACCTCTAGGAGGCGCCTGAGGAGCAAAACAGATAGCTAAAGACCTGGAACCTCGACCCCGCGGGCGGGCGGGGCCTGAAGTACTCAGGGTCCCGGTCGAGGAATATCCTGCCGTACCTGCCGCGCGCGCGGCGCGTGGCCCAACCTCAGGCCCCACCCTATAGGGCGAACCTCGTCCTCCGGCCGCCGCCGACCCTCCTCCGAACGCGTGGGCCTCCCTTGGAGGACGGGGGAGTGGAGGAGGGGGAAGGATCGAGGATGGGTCTTGAGGGAGAGGGCATCCGCCGACACCGCATCATTGGCTCGCTCTCTCTCTCTCTCGTCCCGCCCCCCCCCCCCGTCTCCTACCTCGGCCTAGGCATCGGCCTCGGCCTCCCCCAGCTCCTCCTCCTCCTCCTCCTCCTCCTCCTCTTCCTCCTCCTCCTCCTCCTCCTCCTCTTCCTCCACATCATCCACATCCTCATCCTCCTCGTCGCTCTCCACATCCTCCCTCTTCGTATTCTTGCCGCTGGTCCTCTTGCTTCCTGCTGCACCCCCTCACCCATCCCCCCTTATTGTCTACTGCTGCGCCTCCGCTCGCTTGCTGACATCCTCGCATCCCCCCTCCAGTCCTCCAAATCCTTCCCCTACAAAAGCAATTACGCATGTTCCTGCTCGTCGAATCCCTCCTCCTCATCATCAACAGAATCCTCATCACCATCCTCATCATCATCATCATCATCATCACCATCATCATCATCATCATCATCATCATCACCACCACCACCATCATCATACTCATGTTACTCGGCCTCTGTGCGTTCCTCCTGCGTCGTGGTCGCCGCTCGCTCCTCACTGCCCCTTCGTCATTTCCCTCTGGCCCCTGCTGACTGAGAACTCATCCGCCCCGTTATTCCTCCTACTCCTCCTCGTCTGCTACCCCTCCTCCTCCCTCTCATCTCATTGTTCCCTCCCCACCTCTGTCAGGCACCATCCTCGTGCATCCCTTTTCCCTAAAATTTCCTCGTCTCGTCGCAACAGTGTCGGCAGGGGAAACAAGGATTTCGCCTGACATGTTCTCACACGGTATGGCCCCGAAGCAAACAACTTCCAACAACTACAATGATGGACGGCACCGCGTGTTCAACACTTGCCTTAGCGCCGCGCACAGTTGCCGTTCGCCATGAAATATTCCAACACTTACACGGATGAATGCAGCCTGCTCTGAAATGTGGCAATCGCCACCTTTCCGCGCACATTCGACTTTAAAGCTTGCAACGGTTGATGGGATGGGGGGCGGATCTTTATCAAGACTGGGCAATTTCTGCTTGGTGTCGTAAGATGAAACTGCGTGACGCTAAGAAGATGTAGCATGTACAATGGTACCTGGTACTGCGTGAATGGCAGGCCTGGGGGTGGGGGGGGGGGCGGACGCTCGTCCTTGAATGGGGTAGCACAAAACTTGTGGAGTAGTATGAAGACGGGGCATGGGACGGGAGTGTGTGCTGCGGCACCGTTCCTCCTCATCCTCCTCCTCACTCTCCTCTTCTCCCGCATGCTGCGCCTCCTCCTCTCCTTCCCCGTGCCCGTCCTCCAGTCGTTCTTCTCTTCCGCCCTTCCTTCTTCTACTCATTGTCCCCTCATCCTGACGCCCTGCTCCTCCTGCTCCTCCGCTTCCTTCTCATCCTCTTTTGGGTCACTTTCCCCCTCGTCGTCGTCCTACTCCTCCTCCTCCTGCACTTCCTTCGCCACCTCTTCTACTGCTGCTCCTCCTACTTACCCACTCCCTCGTCATCACCCAGCTCAGTCCCCCCACTTGCTTCAGATTTCGACGGGGCGCACTCTGAAGTTGTCGAGGTAAGCTAGCTGAATAGCCGAATAACTGGCTGACTGGCCCGATTGAACTGGAAACGCCCATCAGCATAGTGGTGGGCTGTCGGGGGCGCAAGCTTTGGCGCAAGCAAATCGTTATAGTTCCAGAGGCCGGAGCAAGCAAGTAAAGCAGATGGGCGCTGAGAGCGCAAGCGATGGCAGAACCCATGGCGAAACCTATGACACACCATCTGGCGCAACCGATGGCGCAATACACTGTGCATCTTATGGCGTGCCAGGTGGCGCAACCTATGGCGCACCTTATAGCAAAACCTGTGGGCACAACCCATGGGGCAGCACAACGCGAAACCGACGGTGCAATATATTGCGCAGCCTATCGCGCAGCTCATGGTGCAAACCATGACGAAACATATGCCGACACGAATAGGCGCAACCTATCGCGCACCCTATGTCGTCACCCATGGCGCAACCTACGCCGCACCAACGACGCAACCCATGGCGCGACCCATGGCAGAACCTATGGCCACCCCTGGAAGCTCAACCTATGACGCGAACTGTGGGCGCATCCCATGTCGAAATTTCTTGGCGAACCCATGACGCAATCCATGGTGCAAACTAGCGCGCAACCTATGGCGCAATCCATAGCGCACCCCCCGGCGTAACGCATGCACAATATACGGCACAACTAATGTCGACGGCAAGATCGAAGCCGTGGAGGGTGCAGGCCAACGGGGTTCAAAGTAGTTTTTCCTTTAGCTGAGACGCATGACGCCCGATGTGTGCACGCTGCTTGGCTTGCGGTGGGTTCTAGGCAGGCGAGCTGTCGTGTGATTTCCGTCTCCTCCTTTTCCCTCTCCTCCTCCTCCTCCTTCACCTCCTGTTCCTCCTCCTCCTCCTCCTCCTCCTCCTTCACCTGTTCCTCCTCCTCCTCCTCCTCCTTCACCTCCTGTTCCTCCTCCTCCTCCTCCTCCAGATTGAGAGGCCTCCGGAGGCCGAATGCGCCCATTGACCCTGATCCTCCACCTCTGGTGGAGAAAAGGGAAGAAGAGGAACAGGTGGCTGGCCATCGCTCGGACGTCCATTTCCTGTGTTTTTTTCGGTTTCGTGCCTAGTTTTTTCGCCAAATGATCAAGGATGCTCCTCGATGGTCCTCGCCGACGGAAAAATGCACACGTTCGAGCGATGCCAGGACCTCTGGTGGAGGAGAGGGAAGAATAGGAACAGGTGGCAGAAGAAATGAAATCATATCCCCACAAAGCGCCATGGCGGCAGGATGCCGCGAGAGTTCAAAGAGGCTCCTGGGTGGACCTTGCTACGATCCTGAAATGGTTGCGGAGAGTCTGAGAGGGTCCTGCGAGGCTCCTGAGAAACCCCTGAGAGGCTCTTGAAAGGCTCTCTGAGAGGCTCCTGGATGGCTTCTGAGGCTCCCAGGAGGCTCCTTGAGAGGGTCCTGAGAGGGTCCAGAAATGGTCCTGTCCTGAGAGATTCATGAGAGGCTGCTGAGAGGCCCCTGAGATGCTCTTGAATGGCTCTTCAGAGGCTATTGGGAGTGTCCTGGGAGACTCCTGAGATGGGACCATGAAAATGCCTGACTTCTATTTCAAAACATGGTTTGAGCATGACTTCGGGATATATTCAAGCACGGAGAAACACATGACTTTGGAATGACGTGGAAAAGAGGATGGTGGTGGGGCCGCCCATTACGCGTCCTGTTCTACGGAGGACAAGTGGCGGCAGCGGGCCGGCAGCGCGCAAGCAGCCGCCAGAACCCCCCTGGGAATCCCTCAGGATTTTCGATGGAGCTCCTTCAGAAGCTGTGCCAGCGTGGACCCCAGGCAGTGAGTGGTTCAACTCTGGACGTGCAACCGATGTGGAGCAAGCGAGGTGGTGCAAGCTAGGTTGTGCAAGCTAGGTGCTGCAAGCTATGTGGCGTAAACTGTGCGATGCAGGCTATGTGGTGCAAGCTAAGTGGTGTAAGCTGTGTGAGGTAAGTCATGTGGTGCAAAACTATGTGGTGTAAGCTATGTGGTGTGAGCTTTGTGGCGCAAGCTACGTGGTGCAAGCTATATGGTGCACAACCTATGTAATACAATCTGTGTGGTGCAAGCTATGGGGTGTAAATCACTTTGACCGTCTTGAAGCTGTCAACTCCACTGCTCGCGCAATCATCCCACCCACCCACCCGCAACTTGATTTGTAAAACCCATGCGGGACCGAGCACGGATATCGCTCCGGGGTCGTCTTGGAGCCCTCGGGGGCGTCTCAAGAGCGCCCCAAGAAGGCCGGAGAAGCAAGACGGCCGACGACGACGACGACGACGACGACGGCGGCGACGACGACGACGCCGACGTCGACGACGACGAAGACGACGACGCCGACGCCGACGACGACGACGAAGACGAAGACGACGTCGCCAACGATGACGACGACGAGGGAGGGAGGACGACGACGGCGACAACGACGACAACGCCGACAACGACGACAACGAGGGAGGAGGGAGGGCGGCGACGACGTGAACGACGAAGAAGGAGGAAGGACGGCGACGCCGACGACGACAACGACGAGAAGGGAAGACGACGACGAGACGACGACGACAACGACGACGACGGCGACGGCGACGAAATAGGAGGGACGACGACGAGACGCCGACGACGGACGACGACAACGACGACGAGGGAGGAGGAGGAAGGACGACCACGGCGACAACGACGACGGAAACGACCACGACGCCAAAGAGGACGACGACGACGAACACGAGGAAAGACACAGGACGACGTAGGCGACGACGACGACGACGCGGGAGGAGGGAGGACGGCGACAACGACGACGACGACGACGACGACGCCGCAAAAGCGCGCGCGCACGCTTTTGTTGAAAATCCGTGTTGCGGGACCTTGTGTTCTTGTAGGTTTTTTGGGCGCGCGATTTTGAAATCCTTCCGAAACCGATGGGTTTTGAAGGATTTCGGCGTACGCGCGCGACGACGCGCGCGTCTGCATTTCGTCCCGTTTTTTTGCAGAGGATTCTCGCGACGGCACACGCGCAAGGGCGTTCGACAGATTTCGACATGCGCGCGCGACGCCCGTTTGGTAGCATGTTGTGAAACATATAGAAAAAAACAATGTTTCGCATAAGATTTCGCAAGAGCTCGCGCGTAAGCTTTTTTCGCAAATGCGAAACCCTGTGTTTTTGTATGTGGTTTGGAAACTCGATTGCGAAATCCCTCTGGCACCGAAGGTTTTTGATGGATTTCGGCATGCGCGCGCGACGACGCGCGCGTGTGCACTTCGTCCCATGTGTTGCAAGGGATTCGTGAACAAGTGTTATGTTAGAACAACACATGTCACCGCATAGTGCTTTTTACAAGGGAACCTCAGGGGGGGGATACCGGCCCCCCGGGGATAGTGCAAATTCATAGTAAGAAGAACATGTGGTCAGAATCATATATGATTTACATACCCGAAAGGGGGGCCGATAACGCCAGGGGGGGGGGGGGTAGAGTCTAGTCTCTTTTTGGAAAGGAGACTCAAAGGCGCCCACGAGCAACCCACCGGCGGGCACTGGGCGAAAACCGGCAGCACCATCCCAACACGAGGCGCCCACGAGGCGCCCAGGGGCGAACACTGGGCGGGCAAGCTACGAAAACCCAGAGCACCAATCCAAGCCCTTGTAACAGCAAGCACGGGCCCCTCAGGGCAAGCACTGTTTGGGAATGCAGTGCGCAGAGGGCGAAGCTGGACGAACAGGGAGGAACGAGAAACAAAAGCAATGACTTCACTGCGGACGCCGCCTGGGCATTGCGGAGACCTGCTGGGCGAGGTCGTGCCCTCCAAAATATGTCACGTATGTATGTGTGTATGGATCTAGTGTGTGCGTGTGTGGATGTGTGCGTGCATCTTGTGCGTACATGTATCTGCGCGTTCGAAAGATGTATCTGCGCGTTCGAAAGATGCTCACTAATTGCGAGGCGAATCAGTAAGGAGGGGAAGAGGAGGTCCTTGGTGTTGGTGATTGCGCTCGTTGAGCTTGTTCTCACGCCACTCGCCAGGCGTGAGCGTTGGTGGTATTGGCTGCTTGCTCGTGCGGAGTTGGTGTACTGGTGCTCCAGCGTCGACTAATGCGACAACGTCTTGGGGCTGTTCGAGCCCTGGCGGGAGCGATGAATTGGTCTTTCGCGCTGGTACTTCGGTGGGGGATGTGTAGAGGTCTGCCACACGCTGACGAAGAAAGCGCCCATTTCGTCGTCCAGGCGCCTGCTCTGGTCGCCATGCTGGCGCGCAGCGGCCCCCCTTGCCAAAGCAATGCTCGCAACGGAAGCTGCTTGCTCGGGACAAGGGACCATTAAAATCATGCGCCTTGACTTCTCTTTGTGCGCGGTCACAACGGTGCCTCATATGATGCATGCGCCATGACTTCCGTATGCGCATCGCCACCCCAAAACCAAACCAACGGTGCCTCATGAGATGCTCTGCGAACCGCGTCGCATCGCGCCGTCGACAACCGCAATTCCTTCTCAGCTGTCGGGATGTGCTTTTTGGGCGGTGCGTCGTCGAAGCGTCAGGGTCATCATGCGCGGCAAGCGTTGTTAAGCCCTCTCAGGTGCTGCTGCGACGGGTCCGTGAACGCCCACACATATGCTCCGAATGATGCTGCGGGGGTTGATGTGGTAGTGGAGAACTGGGGTCGGTCTGTAGTGACGACTTACCTAAAAAGAACGACGGCCGCGCTACTCTCGTGCGGCGGTGGAATCCTTTGCCGATCAGGCAATGGAAGCTGGTCAATTGCCCGAGATATTGAAGACTTTCCTCGTATGGGGGGATAACGATGTCTCATGCCCTCGAAGCACGTTGTGCGTGGGGTTCGCCAGGGTGATCGGTTTCGCTCGACTACTTAATGTGTTGGCGTTGGTCACTGGTCGGGCGTCGCACGAGTCCGAGGGGCCTTGCTGCGCGCACGAGATCGTCGAGCATCATTGTGACTGGTCACGAGCACGCCAACGGTGAAGCACAACAAGGTGAGCGTGGTGGTGGTCGTGGATCCCGGGTGGCCGCTCTTGCCTTTCTTCGTCCAGCCGGTGACCAACGCAATAGAAAACCGTTGAACGCAAGAACTGAATCAGCGGGCCACCCTTGCTTCGTACCCTGACTGGTACTGACGTGGCTGCTGCTGGCGTTAGTCTTCAAAATGGACAGATTGGACGTCTTGCACCTTCAGTGCTGCTCCTGTGTTCGACCGCACCACAACTCTGTTGAAACTGGAGACGGTCAGGGATATAATCTGGAGGCGGGCAAGGGAGGAGGAGGAGGAGGAGGAAGAGGAGGAGGAGGAGGATGAGGAGGGCATCTGTAACGCTCCAGCCCAGCATCGGCGGAAAGACACTGAGCCCCAAGCCTGTCGCGGCTGATGTTGTAACGGCCAGACAGCAAGGCCTCCAGGTAGCTGCCTGCCGAGCCGCCACGGGGCCCCTGCCGAAAACATCCAGCCGTTCCTCGTCCCCCTTGCCCTCGTACTCCTCCTCCTCCTCCTCCTCCTCCTCCTCCTCCTCCTCCTCCGCCTGCTTATCCTGTTCAACCCCCTCCTCCCTCAAGGGCCCTCCGAGGAACCCAGGGCCTCCGGGAGCTGCCCGAGACCTCCCTGAACCTCATCGCCTTCTCCCCTGCGGCCCCTAGAACATCTCGAACCTCCCTCCCGGGGGCTCGCCTTTCATCCCGGGGTTCCAGGGCCCCGAGCGGGTCCCAAGGAATGGAAATGGCCAGCCTCCTTCCTCTATGCTTCAAGAATGCCTGGCTGCGTCGATGGCGCCCCCTCGCCCGCACCACCCTGCGGTGCCGACCTGAGTCTTCCTCCTGCGCTGCTCTGTCCCAGCGCCTGGCTCTCCCGCCCGAGGGGCAGAGCGCGGCGCTCCAGAGAGGGCCCGCAATAAGAGGCCTCCCACGTGAGGTCCGAGCAGACGGGGTAGGAGTTTCGGGCCGCACCGACGATGCATCGGCGACGTCGGCCGGGCAGCGGCGACGCCAGCGTGGAGAACATCGGGCTCCACGTCGAGCCGCACCCCCGAAGCATCGGCGGTGCGGCGCGAATCTCCGACCCCACCTACTCGAATCCAATCTTGGAGGCCTCGAGTACAGTCGGGGCGTTGACCTAAGGAACGATAAATAAGGAACGCGCCCCCTTTTCTCGAGAAGTTAAACTTCGATTTCCCATCGGAAACATCAGGAAAACCTGAGGCAAGCTGTCAACCAATGAAGGAACGCGGAGCCCCTCCCCAACGAAAAGGGTTCCTTCTTCAGGGCCCCGACTGTAATCAGAGGGATCGAATGGTTTATCCCTCGCCCTCGGCAGGGGGCGCGCTGAAGTTTCGCAAAGGCCAGCGCGGACCAACGAGGCGGGCAGGGCCGGCGGCGGCGGCCGATGGGAGCCCAGGGGCAGCCTGGCGGAGGTTGAGCCGTCCGAGAAGATGCCGATGCCGGCGTATCTGGGATTTCCAGGGCGCCCACGTCACGAACTCATTGGATAGCGTGTCAATGACGATTGGATGGCGTAACGCGGCGGGAGGCTCGGGAAAGCTCGGGACCGTGACGTTTGGGAGTGGGAAGCTGGATAGCGTGTTGCGCCAAAGTGTGGTGGATCAGCACTGGCGGAGCGGCGCGACTCCCTAAGCCAAAGCCCCCGACCGTATCATCTTTACCTCTGGTTGGAGCATTAATACGAGGCCGATGTGGCATCACAGCAGCAATTCGGCCCCTGACTTTCGTCCTGGGCTCGGTTTAGTGAAGTGATGAATTTCGGGGTCCTTACGTGGGAAGAAACATCACTTCACTAATCTGGGGCCCCTGGGGCCTCAGTGGGCCCTGGGGCCCAAAATTAGTGAAGTGATGGTTTTCGGGCGTCGGAATTAAGACATCCAGTGGAGTTGAGGGCGGCTCTGGGTCAGCTGATCTTGCGCTGCAAGCGGTGGGGTCCTCGTCGCGCTCGCGAGGCCCAGGGAGGAGGGCAGCAGGGACGGGCGGAGGGGCGGGGGAGAGAGGAGGCACGAAGCGCAAGGTGCGCTGATCCTCGCGCCCTCGACGCCGACCCATGCCTCCGACACCACGACTGTTCCAATACGGGGTTGCAAACCTCTCGACCCTTGCCAGAGGGACCCGCTTCATGCCGGGTAGGTTTGGGGCGGCTCCTGGGCCAGAGTTTCGAGAGGAGCAGGAGGAAGGATGAGGGAGGCGGAGGCGGAGGAGCGTGGCGGAGGTGGAGGAGGTTTGAGTAGCTGGAAGAGAAGAGAAGGCATGTGAGGAAACGACGAGAAGGAGAGGCGGGGAGGAGCAGGCGTGCAGGCACCCTATGGGGGGGAGCGGGGCGCGGCGGCGGCTGTTTCAGAGGGAGCCACTCGCCACCCCCGAGAGGCGCCGCCGCCCCGCCAGCGACCCGTGGCGCGCGCCCCCGCTCGCATCACTCGCAATCCTCCCTGGCGCGGCTGCCCTCCTCGATGGTCTGGAACCACCCCTCGCTGCAGAACGCGTCCGCCTCGTGGTCGTACAGCAGGCTCGACACGCAGCAGTTCCTGACGGGCGCGCCGAGCAGCTCCCGCATGGCCGGCCTGGACATGGCCTCCGGCGAGGGAGCCTCGCCGCCCAGCTCCAGCCTCACCGCGCACCACTTGATAACCCCTGCGTGCGCCACGACCACGACCAGCCGGGGTGCGCTCGGGGCGGAAAGCACCGGCGCCCCCGGCTCGGCCCCGGGGGCGCCCGCGCCGCAGGCGGAACGCAGACCGCGCAGGCCCCGCGCCGTCAGCTGGTCGACGGTCTCGCCGCCCTCCACGGCCACGTGGAAGTCGCCGCGCCGCCAGGCGTTGTGGACCCGGGCCCTCTGGCACTCGACCGCGGGGTCGTCGAGCCGCTCCCCTTGCAGGACGCCGAAATGGACCTCGCGCAGGTCCGCGTCGGCACGGCGAGAGGCCGACGGGCACGCGCCCGCGATGATGTCGGCCGTGCGGCTGGCCCTCGAGAGGTCCGAGGACACGACCGCCTCCACGCGCTCGGCCACGCCCAGCCGCCGCAGCGCATCAGCCACCTGCTGCGCCTGCCGCACGCCGACCTCGTTCAGGTCGATGTCCAGCTGCCCCTGCTAACGAAGAGCATGGCGACCCGAATCCCTGGGGGGGTTTTCGACTGGACCCCAAACTGCGGGCCCAGCACTGAGATATACGATGGTGGGCGTCCATCTTTGATAGGGCTGCGTCCGAATAGCCTCATGATGAATGCGTATCCCCGACTTTCCCCCCGTGTCTGAGCGACCCGACTTTTCGGGGGCAACTCGGGGACTGGGGGCGAACGCTCGCCCGTGACCTGCATCCTCCGCTGCGTGTTCCACAGCGTCTCGCCGTGGCGCACCAGCAGCAGCCGCGTGCTGCGGCGCTCCGCCGCGGCTTCCGCGCCAGCCTCTGGCAGGGCCTCGGACGCCGTGCCGCGCGGCGGGCGCCATGCGCCGCAGACCGGGCCGCCGCGGCCGCGCTCCTCCCGCGGCTGCGGCTGCGGCGGCGGCTCGTCAGGCTCCGCGGCGGCCCTCCCGCGGCAGGGCGCGGGCAGCCGCATCGCGCCGCTGCGCCCGTGCCCGCGGGGTGGCGGGCCGCCGCGCGCGAGCCCTGACCGGTGCGGGGCCCTGCACAAGCCTCCTCCTCCTGATCACCCTTCCTCCTCACTCTCCCCCTCGTCCTCCTCCTCCTCCTCCTCTTCTTCTTCTTCTTCCTCTTCTTCTTCTTTTTCTTTTTCTTCTTCTTTCTCCTCATCCTGCTCCTCCTCCTCCTCCTCCTCCTCCTCATCCTCCTCCTCCTCCTCCTCCTCCTCCTCCTCCTCCTCCTCGTCTCTTCTTGCACTGCACCGCTGCCCTGATCTGATCAATGTCGCCTTTGTGAGTGGTCCACTGGTGTGTGGCGGAGCGGGAGGGTAGCGGGGGGAGCCAGGAGGGGGGGAGGACAAAGCTAGGTGCGCAAGCTTATATCTGACATCCTACCCCTCCAACCCATCCCTTCCCACAGCGCTTATTTGGCCTTTATCCGCCGCGGGTGCCACTGTGGACCTGGAAACTCCGAGAAGGACACCATCGTGTTGTGTACAATCAGAAAATGAGAGCTGTGTACATTGGAGGAGGAAACGGAGGAAGAGGAGGAGGAGGAGGCGGATGAGCAGGAGGACGAGCAGGAGGAAGAGGAGAATGACGCGAGAGAAGGACGTGGAGGAACAGCAGCAGGAGTGGGAGGAGCGGGAAAAGCAGGAGGACCTGGGGAAGGCGGATGAGGGGAAAGAAACGGGGAGACAACGATGAGGAAGGGCCCAGGTCCAGAAAAGCGGACCGCTCGGGGGCGAGAGCGCCACTCTCGACGACGGGAGCAGAGTGCCGATGCGAACTTGATAGAGAGCAGAACATCCACCCCCATAAGAAGCACCCCGACAAGCGAGGCCGTTTAGTAAACGCACCCATGGAGGAAATCGAACAGGGCAGGGCTGGTCTAGGGCTGTTTAGTAAACGCGAAGTATCGGGGTCGGGGTGGTTTTGGCCACCCTTGACATGAGGCTCGCGCTGCAGCGGGATCGCCACTTTGGAAGGGCCGAGGACGCGTGGATTTGCAGATGGCATGCGAGGGAAACCAGTGCGGGCACATCCTGTGGGCGCGCGGGAAGGAGGAGGAGGAGGTGGAGGAGGAGGAAGAAGAGGAGGAGGAGGAGGAGGAGGAGGAGGAGAGAGGAGGAGGAGGAGGAGGAGGAGGAGGAGGAGGAGGAGGAGGGAGGAGGAGGAGGAAGGTGGAGGAGGAGAGAGGAGCAGGGAGGTGCGGCGAGACGGCCGGGGGCGCGCCGCTCTCGGCACGGCTCTCGGGGCGTGAGAGATGCGAGCAGTGTGCGCACAGCGTGCCGCCGCGGACGGAGAACGGAAGGGGAGGAGGAGGAGGGGGTCATCGAGGACGGATGCGGGAAGGGTAGCGGAAGGGAGGAGGGGATCATCGAGAACGGAGGGGAGGAGGAGGAGGGGATCATCATCGAGGACGGATGCGGGAAGGGGAACGGAAGGGAGGAGGGGATAATTACTCGAGAACGGATGGGGAGGAGGGGATCATCGAGGACGGATGAGGGAGGAGGGGGTGACGGAAGGGGAGGGGGAAGGAAAGGGAGAGCGCGGGGCGAAGGCGGATGATGAGCAGGAGGACGAGGAGAGGGAAGCGAGGAGGGCGAGGAGGGCGAGAGAAGGCGGACTCCGTAGGAAGGCGGAGGAGGCGAGGGGATGGAGAGGGGGGCGGATGGGCGGATGGAGAGAGGAGGGGGAAGCAGAGGAAAGGGGAGGGGAAGAGAGAGGTTGGGGAGGCCCGAAGGGAGAGGGAGGGGGCGAGATGAGAGGCGGAGTGGGCGGGGCGGAGGGGGGGAAGGAGGGGGAGTGGAAGGTGGAGGGGGGATGGGACACGTGGATGGGAGTGATGGGAGTGATGGCGGGGAGGGGAGGACGGGAGCCGCCCCCACCCCATCGCCCGGCCGGAGCAAGGACTGTGGTGAGGTCTGGTGCCGCCCACGGCTCGCTCCCTGCGCCACCACCACCACCGCAGCGGGATGGAGAGGTGGGGCGGGGGAGGGGAGGGGAGGGGAGGGGAGGGGAGGGTCAGCCTCAGAGCTCCGAAAGAACGTCGTGTTTGGACGCCCGACATGGGCACGGAAACAGTGGGCACAGTGCCGAACAGCAACTGTTGTCCCGGACCACCAGCGGCCGCTGTTGGGCAGGCGGCCTTCTGTCTCAAGTGTACACAGGCCGCGGCGACACTGACAGCGAGTCCTGTTCAAAATGAACAGGAACTGCTGTTGGGCATTGTACCCATTCTTTCCGTACCCATGTCGGTCGTCCCGATCGTGTGTCTTGGTCAACTACAGGCGGCAACACACGCTCGGAGGAAGTGTGTTTGATGGCGATGGTGATGGCGATGAAGAGCGGGAAGGAGCAAGGACGAGGCTGGCTGAGGGCAACCAGGAAGATGAGGAGCCGACCCCCTACAAATCGAACCGAGGTGGGTCCATGACTCGGGAATGCGGGGTCTCCAGAAGGCCTGGAGGTCGCAGAGGGTCCTGGTCCTGGGAGTGAGGCCTCAGAAAGCCGGGCAATGATCGAACACGCCAGAAATCCTCGGAACCTCGATCCTACACCACATCCAATCCTCATTGTTCCTGTCCTTGTTTGGACCGCGCTCGAGCTGGTCGACGAGAATCGGCAGACCGAGATGGTTCGACCGAACCGATTCGACATCATCGAGTCGAGTTGGTCGGAGTCAACCAGCCGGGTCAACATGCAATCGGCACATTCAGCCGACTCCAGCCAATTGGGGGGAGAAGGAGATGGGAAGATGAGGATGAAGGGGGAGGAGGAGAATGAGGAGGAGGAGGAGGAGGAGGAGGAAGAAAGGACGCTTTTTGCGGTGTGAGACGCTTTTTGCTTTCACTGGGCCTCTGGAGGCGTCTGGTGACCTCCAGAGCTTCGGTGACCTCAGGAGGGGAGGAGGAGGAGGAGGCTGAGGAGGAGGAGGAAGAGGAGGAAGAGCAGGTGAGCAGGAGGATGGCGAGGACGTCATCTCGCAGTCACCCTCCTGCAAAAAAAAACGGCGATCGGAGAAGGCATCGATGCGGCCACTCTGTTGATGCGGGTCTCCAAGCAAGTCGACGTCAAGGCCACGCAGGTCGACCCTGACATCGAGAAGGCCAAGAAAAGCCTGACAGTCGGGGCGGGCGAGCTCCTTACGCTCTGGTTCGGTGGCTCGCCCGCGCCACCGAAAGCACCGCCGACGTGGTCTGTTCGGCCTGTTCTGGACCACAGCGTGGGCACCACCGCGAATCGGAAGCATGCCACTGCTGACACCTCGCGACCCGCCGCAAGCGGCCGCCCGCCTCTCGCGAGGCCGACTCACGTGCGACCACGCGCCGTCGACACAGGGCCACGCGTACCTTGAGCCTCGCCAACGTACAGGCTGGCCGCAGCAGGCGCGACCAGCGAGGCCGAGGGGAAGCTTATGAAACGCGCGGGCCTCTCCTGATCGTTGGCCCATCGGACTCCCCGTGGGCCTCCAACCCGCGCTGCTGCCGCAGCCGCTTCCACGCGGCATCTGCCCCGAGCCCGGCTACGAGTGACAGCCGCCCCAGCAGTGACCTGCATACTCAGCCTGCGCCCGCGGGATGACTGCCGCCCAACCACTCGTGAGCTAAGGACCACAGGCCAGCACGACCGCAGAACCTTGTTGGACAACCTCGCTACCTGGGCATACCTCTCCATTACGGTGGCCGCCAACTTCACGCACCCGACAGGCGCAGAGGTCAGCAGCACTGACACGTCAAGTGCGCCTTCTCCCACCGCTGCCACAAGGAGCTCGTGAACTCGACGGCGCAGGGCGTCAAGTGCCAACGGGCCTCCGACCCCAAGGACCGCCTGGACGAATCGCTATCTACCCAGAGACCCGGATCTTGGTCGCCACGTTCAGCGCAGCCAAGGGGGCCAACGATGATGGCAACTAGGACGAGATCTCGACCTACGCAGACCCGCCCTCGCCTATGTGGCCCGTCGTCGAGCCAATCCACGTCTACGTGCTCGACTATATCGAGGATGGGATCGAGGTACCAGGCCACGGCTTTCACGACGATATGAGCACCCAATGCGGCAGCCACAACGTACCGCTCCCCCAAAGGTGCCTCCTGGCCGCCACGTGCTACAACAAGCCAGCCACGGCACCAGCCACGAGGCCTCCGCGAGGGCCTATCGCTGCGACGAGGGCGTCGCTTGGCCACTCGTATTCAAAGGCAGCTGCGTGATCGCCATGAACGCGTGGCACTACAGCCGGAGGCTTCGACGTTCGTGACGCCGACGAGGCGGGGCCGCCGTTGGCGCTGAAACCGAGCAGCTGGGCGCTGCTGAGTTGCCATTCGGAGACTGCTCGACGCCGCCACGCACCACCGACGATGCTGGAGTCGGCGTCGATGAATGCGTTGAAAGCCAGTCGCAGATACATCTGTTATGTTCTTTGAAAAAGGAGCGCTGGCCGTCGCTCGGACGTCCATTCCCTGTGCTTTTTTCCGGTTTCGTGCGTGGCTTTTTTCCGCCAAATGATCAAGGATGCTCCTCGATGGTCTTCGCCGAGGGAAAAATGCACACGTCCGAGCGATGCCAAAAACTCGGGGATCTTCTGACCCGGGTCAATCCAGACCCGGGTCAGCAGGAAACCAAAAGCTGCAATGAAGGAAAAAAAACTGCAACGAAGATCGTCGCAAACCCAGGTCAGCCAATATGCGCGGCCGCCTCGCGGCCACGAGCGGCTCGCTAACCCGGGTCAGCCAGAGGGGGTCTTCGCAGGATCCTGCAGGATCTGGCGCCCTGGCTGACCCCCGTTTGCATTGACCCCCGTCTCAGGGCTCCCGAAAAACAGGAACACGAACACCCCCGGGAGTGACTTCCTCGTCCCCTTCCACACCGCCCGCCAGGGCGGCCCCGGGCTTCGCCGATGAGACGATGAGGGTGGCGCGGGGCCTCCCAGCTTAACCCCCTGACAGCGGGCGCGAGCGCAGCTCGCGGCGGTGTGGTGCCTCCCAGCGACGCTGAGAACATCTGAAACCTACCTCCCGCACGCAGGCAGGGCCCACCTGCGCCACATAAAGGTGCATCAGCTGTTCCACGGGAAGACACAGGGGGGGGGAAGAGAGGGGGACGAGGGAGAGGAGGAGGAGGAGGAGGAGGAGGAGGAGGAGGAGGAGGAGGAGGAGGAGGAGAAGGACGAGGGAGAGGAAGAAGAAGACTTCAAAGCAGCTGGCCGCCGCCGCCCAGCCGCAGCAGGACAAGGAGGAGCGATCCCCAAACGCCTGCCCCTCCCCCCCCCGCGACTGCGTTAGAGAGACACGCATGAAACCGCGGAACTCCCTGATCTCCCCCGCTCTAGCCCTCACACCTGGTCCTCCTGCTCATGCCCCTTGATCGATCGGTTGGCCACGTTCCGCTTAACCGAAGAGACCGCATGTTTCTGGGGATATCGTTTGCTGAGCCAAGAGGTCCATGAAGCAGGAGTTTGGGGCATAGACGGATCGAGAAGGGCCTCAGGCGTTGTGGCTGGGCCTGCGTCAGACTGAGTACCACGCTAGACAAGAGAAAGGAAATGTTGCAGGTACGCTTGGTGGAACCGAGCAGTCTCCTTCTCGAGCAGAGCTGCTGCTGGCTTGGACGAGGGCTCGTCTCTCTGATTCTTGCCCACTGGTGAAAGGACTGAGGAAACCTCGGGAGGCCCTCACGACGCCCGAGATGTTGGGAACTGTAGGTTCGTCTTTGGGACATCATGAATCGGAGGCAGAGGGAGATGGACCTCAGATGGCATAAAATCCACCCCACGGGAGCACAAGTCACCGCCCTCCGTTTGACGACTTCCGAGCAGCGTCTTAACTGGGCCGCCGACGCCTGTGCAGCCGCCGTGCAGCCGTCCCTGAACAGTTAGTGCCCATGGCAGACAAACATGAGACATTAGGCAAAGCAGGTCTTAGAAAAGGCTGGCTTGTATACAGCGCACGGTTTCTGTCACCTGCCCCAAAGAAATAGGTGCGAGAGCGTGTTGGGCATGGCTCTTACCAGTGCCCAGACCAGAGTTGCTAGAGTTTGTGAGGCTGGACAGTCACCCGTCCAGCTTTGAACGCTCATGAAGTGCAGCATTTCCTCTGCCCGCTTCCCCAAGCGGGGAGTGCTGTCCTCTTTTGGGCCTGGCCCTTGTGTGGCCAGCAAGCTCCTGCGTGTTGCGCCTCCTTCTCAGGAAGAACGGCCCGCTGGAGGGTCCTAGGAGGAGGAGGAGGAGGAGGAGGAGGAGGAGGAGGAGGAGGAGGAGGAGGAGGAGGAGGAGGAGGAGTGACGAGGAGGAGGACGAGCGACAAGATCAACATTAGGTTGCTGCTTTGCTCGCGCTGCGGGTGTCTTCGCTGTGAGAAGCAGAAGTCGGCTCCGTGAACCCTGTCAGCAGGGGCTCGGGGCTTTGAACCGCCAGGGGTGAGGGCTACTGCCAAAGTCGGGAATCGATTTGTCTCTGTGATGACGGTGAGGTGGCCAGGCTTGCACCTCGGAATCACGTTTTCGCCACAGCGCCACGGCTCCTCTCCTCGCCCTCCCCCACTGTGAGGTGGGGAAGGAGGAGAAGCAGGCAGGATGAGCGAGATGGATGTTGGAGGCAAGCAAAAAGAGAGTGGGCGAGGGGGCTACCTCCTGTGGCTTTGTATGAGTGGCCAGGGGCTTCCGAGAAGGCCTCCCGAGAACGCGCGAGAGCCTCCAAAAAACAACCCGCCCTCTTAGAAGGCCGCCCGCCAAGCCCTGCCCCAGCCAGCGCGCCGCCCAAAGATAACCGACTCTGCCATGAATGAACACAAAGAGGTCCTGACAAAAACTTGGCACCCCTTGGACCGGCCGCTCAGCCTGATCCGTTTTTGACGGCCTCCGCCCCCAGGGGCCTGGCAAGGTGTTTCCGGGAGCCCGAGACTGGAGAAACACCTCGGGACCTCTTCGGCTCAAGGACACCTCCCCAAACAAGCGACGTCCTGATTATTTCCATACGGGGACCCTCGAAATCCCGACCCTTTCCCCAGGGCCTGTTCCTCATCCCGGATCACTTTTTAACCATCCCCGGACACGGCGAGAGCTTCTCCAAAAACCGAAGGCGACCGGACGCCTCCCGTCCTGCTTTCTTGCCACGCCTCGAGCATGTCCGGGTCTGGCTCGCGGCGACGGATGCGCACAGGCGCACCACTCACCAGCGCGAGCGCGGGGGCCCCGCGCCTTGCTGCTGCACCAGCGTGGACCGGGCCGTCTCGAAGACGGTGCCCCTGGAGGAGGGGGCGTGCAGCGGGGCGCCACGGCGCTGGCCGACGGCTTCCTCGCCTCCGCCACCTCCGCTGAGGGGCCCGAGCCATCCAAGGCTTGGCTTCTGGGGCTTCTGGGCTTCTGGCGGGCGTCTGGGGCTTCTGGGCAAGGGGGGCTTCCGGGCGCGCGGCTTCCTGCAAGGGGGAGCGGATGGGCCTTCTGGGCGTGCGGCCCTCCGAGAGCAAAGGGGGCGTCGGGGAATGCGGCTTCGCTCGTGAAAATAAAATAGGGGCTTCTGAGCAAGGGCCTTCCACGAAGACGCCGTGCTCAGTGCTCTCTCAGAATGTCGCCCCCCTTCGCGCCACCCTCTCGGAGGGGGCGGCGCCAAAGGGCGGCGCCAAAATCACCAGCTTGATCGCGGACGTGCTGGCCTGGGTGGAAGGCACACGGCCGTGCCCAACGCCCCCGGCGCGCACTCGGCCCAGTGCCACGTCGTCTGTGGGGGGTAACGTCCGGGGGGGGAGACTGGCTCGGGGGGGGGGAGCATCCACCTGGCAGCGGCGAGGCATCGCCGACCTCTCGGCGATGGGCCCCCGAGAGCGAGCCCGCACGCTCCCTGGGCGGCGTGAGGCTGTCAGAACCCGATCGCCGAGCAGTGGGCGATTGGTTTCGATCACCGATCGCCGATCGCCGATCACCAATCGCCCACTGATCGGCGATCAGTGTGCGATTGGGGGTCGCTGCGCTCCCCCTCTGAGCCTACCGCCCCCGGTCGCTGCCCCCTGGTCCACGCCCGGCTCTCCCCGATGCTCCCAGCGCCCCCAACGAATTGGACGGCAAGCGTCCCCCGACTGAGGGGAAGAACAACAACCAGAAGACCATGGGAGACGTCGCACAGATCCCCACAAGCAGGAAAATCAGTCAAACCGGAGCGAAGCCAAGACGACATTCTCCCTGCAAAAGAACCAACGTAACCCCCCAGGGTTCGCAACCCCCCGACGACACAAGGCGACCACAAGCGCCGTAAGGTTACTGGCCCAACAAGCTCTTTTGTCTTGCAGGTCTCGCCTTCTGGACACATGGTGAGCCCCATAAATCGTCAGATGGCCTCGGAATAGGACCTAAGGGGGCAATGTTGCTCAAGGGGGCACCGAGAGCCTCCTCAACAACGTATTGTCCTCCTTTTCCACCCCCTCCTCCTCTTACCCCTCACTTGTTTGTCTTGTTCGGAAAAGCTTGGCGCCATGATGTCCCTGTGAGATGTGACCTGTCTGAGGCACACACAGGAACAGCGCGTTGTCCAGTGCAGTCTGAGCGGGATCGAGAACTGATGCTTCAGATGCCACTTCAAATGGGACCCCCATCGGCCGTGAAAGCTGCGTGGCAAAACAAATGGTCACGGCATGTGGCATTTGTCGGTTCCTCCGCATATAAAGGGGCCTCAGGACACACAAATAAATACACACAAATAAAAAGATTCCCCATATTTTCTGGGTTTCTGTCTTCCCCCCCACTTCCCATATTTTTGCACATTTTCCTGGGAGTCGACGATTAATTGTGTCTGTGTGTTTTTTTCCCTCCTGAGCACAACACATCCCAGCGCAGTCGGCCCCTCCAGATCAAGAGCAGAAGGCGTCTGCCCAACCTCTTCTCGTCTGGCGCTGCGCCGGCGTTGGCACCCGAGACGCCGCGCCATCGCCACCGGCGACAAGAGATGGCAGCCCGAGGTGAGCTGGCCTTAACACCAATATTAAAACGACGCGAAGATCGGGACAAAATCGGATCGGGATAACTCGAAATCTCTGAGAATCGGCGGGTTTGGAGGATGTATTGGGCGCCTCGGCCGCTCCAGAGCGTTCCGGAACGCTCTGACAGCGCTCCGGAACGCTCTGGAGCGATTTATCCCGATCCTAGCCCTGTTTTAAATATTGAACATGCAACATCACACGTAGCACATCCCGGACCTAACCTGACGCAGGCCCGGTCGACACTGCGACGAAGCTAACTGGACCCATTGGAGGCAACGTGACCAACGGCTCGGCGACACCAGCGTATCGCGCGCGCGGCGTAGCCAATGATGCACCATAATGGGGCGACACAGCAACATGCAATGCAAAAGTAACAAGTATATCGCTGATCCCTCTTCGTCTCCTGTGAAGAATCTGGCCGGCGCTGAAGCGAAAGCAATTTTCGCAATTGTGGATGTGGCTGGACCTGAGGCGAAAGCAACGTTCTCAATCGTGGATGCAGCTGGCGTTGGAGCAAGAACAACTTTCCCTATCGTGGATGGGGCTAGCGCTGAGGCGAAAACAATGTTCGCAATCGTGGATATGGCTGTCACTGAAACGAGGGCAACATTGGCAATCATACATGTGGCCAGCGGTGAGGCGAGAGCAAGCCTCGCAATCGTGGTTGTGGCTGGCGCTGAGGCGACAGCAGTTTTGGCAATCGTGGATGTGGCTTGCGCTGAAGCGAGAGCAACCCTCGCCTCGGCGCTCGAAAATTCCGCGATGTGGCCAGCGCCACAGCGAAAACGATACGCCCAATGCAAGATGCCGGCGCTGAGGCGACAACGACATTTTTGCATTGGACATGTGACCCGCGCAACAGCGATAACAATATCCTCAATTGACAAATTGCGGCTGGCGCTTAGGCGACAACACATTGTTCATAAGACATGTGGCTGACGCCACAGCAAAAGCGACATGTTCAATGTCGGATGTCGCCGGCGCCAGAGCAACCACGACATTTTCAATCAGACAGGTGGCTGTGCCAAGACGAGAACGACATGTTCAATGAAGGAAGTCGCTTGTGCCACGGCGACAGCCACATTTTCAATCCGAGATCTGGCCAGCGCCACAGCGAGAACTATACTACCAACAGATGATGTCGCGGGCGCCGGAGCGACAACAACATGTTCAATCAGGCGCCCAAGCGAGAACGACATTGTCAATGAAGCACGTCGCCGGCGCAAAAGCGACAACAGCATTTTTAATCAGAGACGCAGCCCACGCACAGGCGAAAACAACACGCTCAATGAAAAATGTCGCTGGCGCCTCGGCAACAACAACACTTTCAATCAGAGATGTGGTCCACGCGCGAGCCGGAACATCATTTGGAGACAAGCGTGTCGCCAGAACGCAGGTGACCCGCCCATCCCGCGCGGGCCAGGCTCGGTTCCACTGCGATCTCACCCCCCAACCTCCGACCATTCACAATCAAGATAGAACTGATTGCGAGAAACAACGTGCACTCGCTGCTGAACACGACTGAAAACGGAGCATGGGAGGACTGACGATCCGGCCCACTGACGTCATTGAAGCACATATCCCTCCACATGATGGCCAAGAACTGCTCTTCGGCGAGAGCAGCCCTCAAACTCAGAGTCTCGGCAACACACATGGAAACGACAACTCGCTTGACGGGTGGGCCGCCACGCCGGCAAAGAAAACCGGGACCCCGAGTTCTGCCGAATGACACAGCGCGCGCAAGCCAGCCACCCTGGCCCCGCTTCGACGCGCGGGCCCGAGGCAAACATCGTCGGAAAAATCGCAGCTCAAAAATGAGGGACGCGGCGTCTAAAAGGCCAGACTGCCATACGCTGGTTCGCAGAACAATTAAGATGGTTGACGGTCTTAATGCATATCATCGCATCAGCGACGGCGGGGTTCGGCAAGGCCGCGCTCGAAAAGGATCCTCCTGCAGCCACGTCGGCCCTGGTAACCCCGTCCTGACCACCGTGGTCCGATAGTGTCTGGCCTCCTCAGGCGCGAGGATATCGCAAGGAACAGCGCGACGTTTCTTGGCCAGTCGCATGGGGACAACTGCCCACGAATGTATACTTCCAGATCGCCCAAAATCAGGGACCCAAAGATTCCTTCGTCGGTTGCGATGTGTTCACGAATCAACGTTGGTACAACATCCTGGTCCGCTCATGCGCATCCGTTTGCGTGCGGGGCCTGTGGTTTGCTTGCCCAAATTAATGGCCGCTTGCACTGCTCTGTCGACAGCAATCACTTCCATCGCAAAGGCGCCATCCTGTTGCTCCAACTGTATAGAGTCAAATCGTGCGAGAAAAATGTCGTGGCCTTGCTGCACGCCAACACGGAATGTTGCATACGCAGCCGCCCCACAAGTGCCACGCCGCCCCCCGTTCGAATATATCAATCCGCATCGGTGCGCTGTGGCTGGGGACATCAGGCGTCGCACGCAAAAAAACATGATGAATATTACGTTTAAGTCCAACGGCAATGTGTCACAGCCTGTCTGCCGTTGGCTTGTACTCTCGCGGCCGCCAGTCGTGCGTAGCCAATTGCTCACCCTTATGCACATACATATCTCCGAAAGCCTCTGCCAAGTTGGTAAGCATGCGGTCTAACATCGGCTCGTAAGGCTTCGTACATCTCTCTTCCAGGTTCGCCATTCCAGCTACTGTCAAAGAGTCCACCACAAATTGAAGCTGCGGCCGTCCACAATCCAGCATCCAGAGGGTATCCTGGCCTAGCCGTGCCGGCTGCAGGCAGCACACTTGCGAGCGATGCGCCACTGGTTCACCATGGCAGGTTCCGAGCCTCTCATAAGCCTCACGCGCGAAATCTGATTGGCATGTGATAGAAGTGTATGGCCGAGTCCACGGGGGGCGGAGCCTCCCCCAGGCTCATGCGTTTGGACGTGTCCGTGACTCCCACGGGCCAGCCGACTCCCAGCCAGGCGCTGCCGAGGAGGCTCCCTCCCAGGGCCAGCGCCCTCGGAGCCCGAGAGAAGAGCCCCTGCCGCCGCCCCCCCTCCCAGGGCGAACTCCGACCACTCTCCGGGGGGGATCCTCCCGCCCCCGCCCCCTCGTGAGCGAACAACCTATCCGTATCCACGGCCTCTCGGGCCATGGAGGCCCCGGGCCTCGCCCCCGCAGAGGAGGAGGAGAAGGGCAAGAGGGAGGAGGAGGAGGAGGAGGAGGAGGAGGAGGAGGAGGAGGAGGAGGAGGAGGAGGAGGAGGAGGAGGAGGGGGAGGAGGGGGAGAAGGGAGCAGGAGGAGGAGTGGGAAGAGGGAGGAGGAGGAGGAGGGGGAGAAGGGAGCAGGAGGAGGAGTGGGACGAGGGAGGAAGAGGAGGAGGAGGAAGAGGAGGAGGAGGAGGAAGAGGAGGAGACGGTTTTTCGCAGTATCCGTGCGAACGCGTATCCGCGGGATCGCGCCCCGGGATCAAGACCGAGAGGGCGCGGATACGAACAGGTTCGCCGCTCGTGATCCCCTGCCCCGCAGCAGGCGTCGCCCGACGTTCAGGTCGATCGTCGCCTCCGCCGCCAGCATCGGGTTGACGATGCGCTGGCGGTCGGCCTCCGCGGCGGCCCTCCCGAGAGCCCTGCCGACCACGGCCGCGACCGAGGCACGGTCGCGCGCGTCCACTCGCGAGCGCACGTGGGCGCTCGGGCGGGGATGCCGTGGGGGCGCGTGCGGGGAACGGGGCGGGGAGTAGTTGGCACGTAGATGTGGGATGGGGTGGGTCGGGCCGATTCCCCATGGAGAATTCCTCAAAATCCCCCCCGCAAGGCTCGTGCCCACATCCCACGGATGCGGTTCCTGTCACTACTCCGACCGCGCTGGCTCCTCCCACTCACTCCTCATCCCCCTCCTCCTCTTCCTCAGGGTCGCTACTCAGATTATGGTGATTATGCTGTTAGTGGTGATACTGATGAGCAGGATGATGGTGTTGTTGATGATGATGGCAACACTGGTGATGATGGAGGTAATGCTAATGATAATGACGATGATGATGCTGATGATGATGATGCTGATGCTGATGGTGATGATGATGAAGATGCGTTTGTTGATGGTGGTGATGATGGTGATGATGATGGTGGTGATGATGGTGGTGATCATGATGGTGATGATGGTGGAGCAGCTGTTGAGGATATCTCGAGCGAAGCGCTGGTGATGCTGATGGTGATGATGATGATGATGATGATGATGATGGTGGTGGTGGTGATGATGGTGATGCTGATGATGATGGTGGAGCAGCTTTTGAGGATTTCTCAGGCGAGGCGCTGGTTTCAGCACGCCCAAAGGGGGCCGCCAGGGGTATTGCAATCGTCCTTTCGCGCCCAAATTGCGGGGATGTCTCAAACGGTTTGCCTGTTTGCTACCGCAGAATCCTCCGCTATCGGAGCAGATTTGGAGGATGTCTAGGGCGAGGCGCTGGTTTTCCAACCCCAGGGGGGGTCCAGATTGCGAGGACGTCTTGAGCGGTTTGCCTGTTTCGGTGGCCAGATTCGTTTGCGTTCAGAACAGATTCTGAGGATGTATCGGGCGAGGCGCTGTTTTTAGCACTTTTGTTCGCGCCCAGATTGCGGGGATGTCTCTAACGGTCTGCCTGTTTGTTGCCGCAACATCCTCCGCTTTCGGAAAAGGGTTTGAGGATGTCTTGGGCGAGGCGCTGGTTGTCGCACCCCAGGGGGCGCAGATTGCGAGGATGTCTCGAGCGATTTGCCTGTTTTGGTGGCCATGTTCGTCTGCGTTCAGAGCAGATTATGAGGATGTCTCGGGCGAGGCGTTGGTTTTCGCACCCCAGGTGGTTCTGATTGCGAGGATGTGTCGGACTCACTTATGCGCAAACTCACTCGTGCTCAGACTCACTCATAATCAGACGCGTACTCATCATACTCATATGATTTACGCACATTAGACTCACACTCACACAGACACCGACTCACCCTCACTCACTGGTACTCAGACTTACTAGTATTCAGACCCACCTAGACTCAAACTTATCCCCATCATACTCATATTCAGGCTCACTCACATTCAGACTTACTCACACTCATAATCACTCACACTCAGACTCACCCTCCCTGATGCTCATTCGTACTCTAACTCACTCCTACTCAGACCCATTCAGACTCAAGCTCGTACTCGCTATATTCGTACTCAAACCCGCTAACACCCAGACATACCCACACTCAGACTCACTCTCACTCAGACTCACTCATACTATGCCTCACGCATTCTCAGACCCACTCGTACCCAGACGCTCTCATACAGAGACTAACTGACACTCAGACTCAACCATACGAAAACCTAGTTATACCTGAAGCCCATTTATGTTCGAACACCCTTGCGCCTAGACGCTCACAGCGGACATTCCCAATTCAAATAGATCCACAGATGGAGAGCTCCACGCAGAGACTATATTTTGTGGGGCTCTGGGGCGCCCAAACAGAAAACAAAGCACCAGTCGAAAACCACGCATACACCCCCCCCCTAACAAAAACATCTAAAGGAGCTCTGCCCCCCAAAAACCCTAAGCACCCCTCATGTAAAGGTTTAGGCGGGTTCGGACGGTTTCCCCCCATAATCCTTCCAACTACAAGGGGTGTCTTTGTTTTCCCACATCCTATATGTTTTCTCTGGACACCCCCGCGGTTGAACAGGACCATTCGGAGGAACACCCCGAGGTCTCCAAGATGGGCCGAGACGCCCCCTAAGATGGCCTCAAGATCGCCCAAGACGGCCCAAGAGGACCTCCAGGACAGCCCGAAGAGGCCAAAATCTTTCAGCGCCATTGCTTGTTTGAAGGATTCTGGCATTTGCTCATTTTATGGTTTGCGATGGCACAAGGCGTCCCCAGAAGCCACTAAGATGGCCCCGAGAGCGCCCAAGAGGCCTCCGAGATGCCCCCTGACGGACAAAGAGGCCCCCGAGACGGCCTCAAAAGGGCACCAAGACGGCCCAGGAGACCTCCAAGACGCCCGAGATGGCCTCCAAGACGGCCCTGAGGGGCCCCCAAGACGGCTTCCGACGAGCCAGAAACGCCCTCAAACAGCCCAAGGGCCTCCCAAGGAGCCTCCAGAGGCCCCCCAAGAGGCAAACGGAAGCCACCAAAAGGCCTCCAAGAGGCCCCTAGCAAGCTCCCCGGAGGCCTAAAAGTGCCCAAAGAGGCTCCCCAGAGGCCTCCTCCTCCTCCTCCTCCTCCTCCTCCTCCTCCTCCTCCTCCTCCCTCTCCTCTTCTTCTTGTTCCTCCCCCACATGTTCCCCGAAGGGTTTCCACAACAGCTGTGTGAACATATAACCCGATAGCTTGACAGAGCTCAGGCCGCAACGTTGGGCCACATAGGCACACAGGCGTTTCCAAAAGGCATGGGGGGCAATGGTGATGGGCTGTGGGCGTCTTCGATATCCACACCTGAGATTATGCTGTATAGAGGACAGAGAGAGAGAGAAAGAGAACGCATACAAAAGAGAGTGAGAACGAGATCAAGGCGACGTGCTACGAGGACACGAAGGGGGTGGTAGGTCGTTCTTTGCGTCCACAGCCACCCCGACAATGCGCTGCCACAATGGAGAAGAGAGACTCGACAGATGGAAGGTTGGATGCAGGGGAGCGGACGAGGCTAGAACAGAGAAGAGGAAAAGGGGGGGGAGAAGGAGTGAGAGAAGGATGGAGAGGTGGGAGGAGGGAAGAGGAGAAAGGGGGAACTGATGACAAGGAGGAGAGACACAGTTTTTAGCAGACTCATCGGTCGTGGTCGTCGTCGTAGTAGTCGTCATACTACGCAACAATATGATATGGGATGACCGTTGGAGTGGAAAGTTGCTGGATGAGAGCATGCACAGAAACGATACGAGAGAAGAGGGATGGTGGGGAGGGGGGGATGGCGGCGACGAGGAGAGCGGAAAGAAAACAGACACACGCACCACACACCACCACGCACTCACCACACACACACACACACAACACGCACGCACGCATGCCGCGGCGCTGCGCCTCCCGAGGGGGTCGGGGCCGAGGAGGGTCCCGGCTGGGTGGGCTGGCTGCTCCTGGGGCTCAAGGGGGGGCCCAAGGGCAGAAAAACGGTGTAACGACCCAGGACCCTTGAAGCTGTCTCTCAGGGCCTCCTTGCATCATGGTCTCTGGAGCTCCCCATGTGATCCTCATCGAACGGCGCTGCTGCAGGTGTCGGCAAGCGGTGGCAGTGGAAGCGGCGGGTGGCGGGAATTACCTGCGTCCCCCCCCCCTCCCGCGAGGTGAGGCCTCGAAGAGGCCGTACTCCTCGCGCGGCGCAGGGAAGAGGGGGGGGGGGCGTCTCGCGGGCCTGGCAGCAACTCCTCCTCCTCGTCCTCCTCCGCCTCCTCCTTCTCGTCCTCCTCCTCCTCCTCCTCCTCCTCCTCCTCTTCCTCCTCCTCCACTCTTTCACTCCTTCCTACGCAGCATTGCTGCGTCAATGACTCCGTCCGCTGCAGCACCTTCGCTCCCAGTGGTGGGCGGGCACTCGACACGAGCAGCTGCAACCGCAGCCAGGCGCTGCGTGACTGCCAGAAGAACTCGACGTGTTATGTATATTTCTCAAACAGCTGTGCTGGAAGGGGTCCCGGTGTGCTGAGACAACCTCTTGACGCTTCGCGAATAACTACCACCAACCAATCCACACACGATGGCCATGCGACTTCAAGTGACCAAAGGAATTGTTGGAGCAAAGAGTGGGGCAGCCGTTGACGCTCGAAGGGCCCCCTTCGAACTACTAACACTTAAGAACAGTTACAACAAGAAACAATGTGGGGGGACAGTTAAAACAAAACAATTCCGAGCGCTGTGGTGCGCGTGTTGGAAAATAAAAGAAAAGCGGGGCCAACCAGACCGCAGGATACGACTCCACGACCGCCATCTTGAGGCCATCTTGAGGCCCTCTTGGAGCGCTCTGTGGCTGTCTTGGAAGCCTCTTGGACAGCTCTTGGAGCTCTGTTGGCGACTTCTGAGGGCGTCTTCAGCCTCCTGGCGCGATCCCAGCGCGCTCCTTGTGCCCCGAGACCCCCATGGCGCTCCGAGGGACTGCCCTGGGACCCCCCAGCCCTGTCCCCCAGTACATAGGTGTATAGGTGTATAGGTGTATATATCTATATATATATATATATATAGAGAGATAATACTCGAACCATCACGCGCTTCTCGCGCGCTCAAGTTCTAGCCAGGGTCATGATCATCGTCATCTTTGTAATCCTTATCCCCGTCATCTTCATCGTCATGGTCATGGTCACCTTCGCCATCATCATCACAACAATCATCATTATCATCAGTTTCATCAGCATCGTGATCACCGTCGCCATCATCGTCATCGTACTTTTCAGCATCATCATCCGCATCATCAACATATTGTTGGTCGTGGTCGGCGTCGTCGTCGGCATAGTCATCGTCATCATCATCAGCGTCATCGCCGTCATCATCCCCTGTCCACTGCAGTCCCCTTTCCCTCCTCCTCTTACCGTTTTCTCTCTTCCCATCATAGTATACTTATCCTTTTCCTCGTCGGCGTCTCTCAGAAAAGGACCCCTGCTCCTTCACCTCCTCCTCCTCCTCCTCCTCCTCTTCCTCCTCCTTCTCCTCCTCCTCCTCCGTCTTCCCCGCTCTTCGGTGTTTCCCTCCTTCTGTTCCTTCATCTACTTCACCTCCTTCCTCCTCTCAAGCCCTCTTCATCCTGCGCTCCCCTTCCATCCAGGTCCTCAGCATCCCTCCCGGAGCCAGAGAATCAGAGAACAAGATAATCTGACAAGAACGGTGTCAGAAGTGCTGTTCTCTGCCTGTGGAGATCGGCGCGCCGCCAAGGGCGGCGCGCCCGTCACACGGAGCGTGCCTCCACGTGGAGCTCCACGAACAGTTCTAGGGACACAAAGCGCATGGCCTCTCTCCTCCTCCTCCTCCTCCTCCTCTCCTCCTCCTCCTCCTACCTTCTTCCTCCTGTTGCTCCTGCTCCCAGAACGCCTCATCGATTGCCTCCTCCTCCTTCTCTACTCCTCCTCCTCCTCCCTCTCCTTCTCTCCCGCCTCCTCCTCCTCCTCCTCCTCCGCCTCCTGCTCCTGCTCCTCCTCCTCCTCCTCATATTCTTCTTCTTCTTCTTCTTCTTCTTCTTCTTCTTATTAGTATTATTCTTATTATTCTTCTTCTTATTAGTATTCTTCTTCTTCTTATGATTATTCTTCTACTTCTGATTATTCTTCTTATTCTTCTTATTAGTATCATTATTATTATTATTATTCTTATTGTTCGTCTTATTATTATCATTATTATTATTCTTCTTATTATTCTGAGTATTATTATTATTCTTCTTCTTATTATTACTCTGCTTAGTATTATTCTTCTTCTTTTTATTATGTGTCTTCTTCTCCTTCTTCTTCTTAGTAATATTATTACTAGTATTAGTATGATTATTATTATTTGCATTATTATTAGTATTATCATTATTATTATTAGTATTAGTATTATTATTGCTATTTATTATTATTATTATTATTATTATTGTTATTGTTATTATTCTTCTTCTTCGTCT